ACATATTCGGACTATTTCAAATTTTGCTAAAAACCAAAGAATTATATTGACCGAGGCGCACAGGGTATTTGGTAGTCAAGCACACGCGACTACAGAGTTATGACCAACTCTAATCCAGAGCTACTCAGCTTAAAAAGTAGTTTAATTAAACTTAATTAAACCTTTGCATTAATATTGAGTATGTTAAACTCCTTGTTGTACAACTATTTTGGGCAACTGCCAAGGAAAAGTATCAATAAATTTATATTAACTTTCTATGTATATCATTGTTGTTCCTTACTCTCTTAACTAATACACCTAAGTTCACTTTAATTCTGATCCATAGGTATTAAGTAATTCATTTTAATTTTAGTATTAAGCGATTTGCTCATTGCCCTAACAAGACAGATTGCAGATACAAATAATATGTACACAAAAAAAGTATGTTTTATCTAAATAACAAAGTAGTTTGCTTATTTATTTATGTGTAGAATAGTTTAATTTAACCCTAGAAAAATAAAGTGCTGGCTGCTGAGGTGTATAAAATAACAAAATGAAACTTAAAGTAAATATAATTTAAATATATGTGCTTTATTTTGCCAAGACTTAAATAAAAGACATAATTGCATGAAGACCGCAAATTGTTATTTAATCGAGCTTGTCTAAGCCCGAATTTCTTATTAGGCTCATAAAATATTTAACGCAAATTTAAATTCTAAGCCTGCAATATTAATTTGTATTTTAATAACAGTCAAAGAGAGAACATGTATGCCAAATCATAAATAATAAAAGCTCTAAGAATTTCGTAAACTTATCTAATCAAGTAACTCATCAGCTTAAAGCCTCAATCAAATTACCAGAATGAAAAATATTCAACTTTTTGATTTAAAATATTCAATAATAAAGATGTTTTAGTTTCAAATGGAATTGGATAAAAATGGGGTTAAGCAAGATTTAAACCTGGGAGCCTGGGCTGTATAATATAAACAACCTGGTTCACGAAGTAGAGGGCATTGTTATATTGTTAACTTGTATACTATATTTAAAGTATATTTAAATAGCGCAACTGATGTATAACTATTAAGCTCTTAAGTGCTGACAATATCTGAATGCATGCCAAAAGACCCTGACATAGTTATAAGAACTTCTATACAAAGCATGAACTTATCCACATAATCGTTGTCCATGTATCTATATCTATATATGTATATATCTATATCTTGATATGTATGCACATATACCTTTCAATCTATCAAGTACAAATTGGTTTTTGAGTTTATGTAGCTTTTGGATAGCTACGAACGGAGGCATCGTTGTCGAACCCATTGCCGTTTGTCTGATGCTCTCTGATACTGTACTGGCATTGTAGTCAGGTGGTCGCCCACTCCCACGATTACAATCAATATAAATCACATTTACCCAAAGCGAAAATGTTTTCTACTTCAGCGGAGAAGCCAAAAAATTCATACGCAACAGGGGAATTTGCTGTTGGCCCTCTTTTTTTTTTCTACTTTCTTCTCATTTTAACATACATATGAAGTTACGTACATACAACCTATAACTGCTGATAGAGCCGAGAGAGAGAGAGAGAGAGAGAGAGAGAGGGAGGGAGAGGGAGGGAGAGAGAGTGTGTTTTTGGCTGCCACCTACACAGCTGGCAGCCCCTGCTCCTGGCACCTAGTGAGCACGTCTATTTTTTTACATTTGGCCAAAAAAAAAGGGCAACCAACCAGGCACAGGCGAATATGCAACAAATTCTCATTCAAAACACGCACGCAAATTTCTCCAATTCGCATACATGGCAAAAGGCGAAACAGGGACCGTGACAGGGATGGGGTGCGGGTGCGGGTACGGGAATGGGTACGGTTAGGGGGAGGGGGGGGGGTGGAACTGAAACCGAACCTAAGTGTAATAGAATGAGGATCGAAAATGTACAACAAAGGATGGCATAATAATAAAAAATTTAAGATGTGTAAAAAACATAAAAAGAAAATTCATTTGCGCCAAATTTGTGGATTTCACCTTAATCTTTGTGTACCTCCCTCCCCTCCCCTCCTCACCGCACCCCACCCCACCCCACACCTGCGTAATCTGCTCCTCTCTTTGCGGCGACCCGTCGACAACAATGTATGCGAAAAGTCGTTGTAGTAGTCCAATGAGTGGATTCTATGTTCTGAGTCTGGCCCTTCCGCTGATGCTCCCGGCTGCCCGGCTGCCCGGCAAGGGTTTAGCCCAAGTCGTTCCCTTTTATAGGTTTGCGGTGAAAGCGCCACGTTTAAAACTCGTATTTGTAGATGCAGATGCCTATGTCTATGTGGGACTCTCTGTGCGTGTGTGCGAGTGTGTGTGTGTGTGTGTGTGTGTGTGTGAGTGGGTGGGCTTAGCTATAAGAGCTATTTAAGTTGACTTGCCCCGGCCCTGAGTTTTACAATCGCTTACGTGCCGCATGTACTCGCCTGTGTGTGTGTGTGCGTGTGTGTGTACACTCGCCTATTAAATCATGTATGCGCCGTAATAAGGAAGCCGCATCTTGTATAATGCACATACTGAATCTTAAATTCAGATTCACACTAGAGCGAGAGCAACGCTGACCAAATTAATGTCGTGCTGTCCCCGATCTGGCCCCTCCACTATTTACTTACGTACTTGCCCATCCAACTTTCAATTGAATTAATTGAAATTCTTCAGTCAACTGTATGTAAAATACACATGAATACGTCTGTCATAAGTTAAAACGTACGTTTTTAGGTATACATAGATACTAGTATACAAGATATACTACAAATATATGCCAGTTATTAGATATAATAAATTTAAATATACATTTATTTCACACTACATTTCATACGTTTAGAGACAACATTGTCGAAAAGTTTTAAAGAATTATCATGGGTAATAACTGGACTATTTGACTATTTTGTTATAAGGATATATCCATTGGCTGGCAAAAAGCTTTGATAACTTTTAATTTATAAGCAGAGGCGAAGTATACTGAAAACTTGTTTCACAAGAAGACTTTAACAGCCTTTACAAACTAATGTAAACTTTGTGAACTTACGCGCTGACAATTGCTTGCAAAAATTAACATATTTTATAAAAGAAAATGTGGTCACACTCTTCTATCGGCCTTTTAAAACTGTCGCTTGTGGGTAAGGGTTATATAGAAAAAAACATATTAGCAATTTAGTCAAAAGTATGCTTAAATAATTATTTATTTATTGATTCTATTTATTTTTAAATATATAAAATACACCTAAATATATATAAAATATAATATATCTATATATATAAAACTGTTTGTTCTGACTGAGTGACTGATTGGTGAATTTGGGAATCTGAAATTTTCACTGCTATCAACTTATGTGATAAAGGTGCACGTTAAGTCGGGGTTTCGGGAAATTCCACCCGCAAGTGTGGAAAAATCGCGAAAAACGTTTGAGTAGATCTTTGTTCAAATTTATTTGAGGGGTGTTTCACATTTTTCGCAAACTCAAAGCAATCTCGGTGGAAAGTGCGATTCAAACATTTTTTGATGAAGTTTTGCTTCAAACTTATATTCAAAGCTCTACATAAAAACTTAATGAATACGTGTTTCAGCGATTTGGGAAATTTCACCCGCAACAGTGGTAAATTGGCGGAAACGGTTGTATGATTTGTTGTTTGTTTATTGTCCGATCAGTGTCAATATCATTTTTAAAACTTTTTGAAAAATTTTATTTTATACGTACTACGGGCAAGGCCGGGTTATATCCGCTAATATATGTATATATATATGTGTAAATATATAAATAAATGAAAATATAAATAAAGAAAAAGGAGTATTTCATGCAATATTCAGATTATAAGTTATTATCGAAGCAACTTTTAGATAGGACAAATTAAATTGGAATATTCCTTAAATTAAAGAGTCTGCTTGTCTAAGGGCAAAAAGTTTTTTGTTTAATTAAGTTCGTTCATTATCGAATTTTGTGTATTTTCAACAAACCCACGCGGCTTATGGCTATAATTAGACGTTTGTGTTCTAAAGGGAAAAGCATCTCTAACCAAAGAAGGCTAAAAAGTTGGCCATTCTGAGACAGTTGTAATTGTTAACTTTATTAATTTTCCTATACACCAATTCAGAGCTAATTATATTAATTTTCTTTAATTAAGATTTTCTTTCTCCATGGCAGTGACCCTTGGTGCGGTATACCCATACATTTTCGGGTGTTTCCGATTGACCCTCATGATGCCCTTAGCCAGAGTGCATATTATTCAAGAGAATGCACACGCCCAGCAGCTGGTTAGCAATTGACCAAACGTGTGGAGCAATTTGATGTGTGTGTGTACATAGGGGATTTCGCACTTGGGACCAGCCTATGCTATAATGTGGCATACGCAAGGCAATCTGTATTTGAATCAGACTCAGAATCTAAATCTGAATCTGAGTATGCCTGGCTGTCTGTCTGTCTCTCTGGCTGGCTGTGTGAAAAGCCGGCAATGGTGGCGATTTAAGATTGAAAAAATAAACTGTAACAAGCTGCATTGAGATAAAATAATCTCTAATGAAAAGGGGGCTGCTTTTCGACGACTTCTATAAATGCGGGACATTTGCCGGGCTTAGTTAATAATCAACTGCGGCTGTGCCGGGCGGGTCGGTCGCTCGTTCTTTTTGTGTTGCGGAATTGAAGTTGATGTCGTACATCATCAGATACATTTCTATATGTATGTATATATGAGGGCGGCGTGTCGGACACACACATCTACACAATCTCACACACACACACACGACTGGGGCTCGGTATTGAATTGATGGTTATTTTCAAAAATCCAATGACTGTCCGAGCGATCGCTGCACAAATCAGTTGAAGAATCGCACTCGAGCGACAATGTTCTCGGTCGCGCGTTGTAAGACTCAAACCCGAACTCGAACTTAGATCGTGCCCAACCAGAGTAAAAATAAATATTACATTAAAAAAATATTTAAAATTAAACTGTGCTTCAAACTTCTGCTGGGCAACAGAAAATATAAACATATTCCATGCATAATAATGATATGTATTTCAAAAATAAAATATATATAATCTATATGTATTATATATTGAAGAACGACAGAGAGGCACGAGCAGCCGCTGCTCCTACGACGACGACTGGTCAATTCTCCGTGCGGGGTTAAGACCCCGCAAAAGGCGCGATAATCACAATCGTGTTGTCGCCGACAAACTTGGGGGGGAAACTGTGTGAGCCCTCGCAGTCCCCAGACCCCGTGCAGTTGTGCGCTTAAGGTTCTCAGACGCGTGGTTGCTCTGTTCAACACTTGGGATTGTGCTATTCCAAAGATTCTAACATATTGCAACTGAACAGTTCTGAAAACAGCAAAAAAAGGAGATTAAAATATCGAATAACCAAATTTGGTCTAGTTTCCTGAAGGTTTGTGGTAGATATTTAAAGCAATAAGAACTCAAATCTAAAGATGTTTTTTACTATGTTTTTTACTTGTATCAATTTGTTGCACTTTTCTTAAAAGCTTGTCAGGTTGTGAAAAATATTAAAAAAAGTTTTATCGTAGATATAAATTTGATGCATATTCAGAATTAAAAGTTCAGTTTGAAAAAGAAATTTATAAGTAGAAAAGTTTGTCAAGAGACTAACGAATTAAATTTAATGTAGTAATTTCTGCAAAAAAAAAAGTTTGTGTTGCTCTCGTGTGATGAACACTCTTAATACCCTGCATTTAATATGTGCACAAAAAAATAAGATTAGACAAAAGTCGATGCGATTCAACTTTTTGTAGAGAAAATATATTGGGTATCTTGTGCTTAGCTTTCTTATAAATATCGATAGGATTCCAATTTTTTTTTACCAAATCGATAATTATCAATTCATAGCTCAGCTCAGAGTTTGTAAAAGCTAGATATATCGAACTTGGTTGCATTACATACACATATAAAATTGTCTTTTTTTTACCTTTTTCGATATTTTTCGCTATTTTAACAACATTAAAAGACAAATCAAATCATATATGATGGCTAGATATATTATTTATGCAAGCACATTTGACATAATGAATCTTACAGGGTATCTTGATGACTAAAAGCCTTTCTTTACTCATTTGACATATCAATATTGCAGGCGGAGCAGCACAGGAAATCGTCTTAGTCATATGTTGTGCTATCAATTGATACTTGTACGTATTAATCCATGTTTTTCACTTCAAATGTTATACATATATATATATATATATATATATGAAGAAATTTGCATTTATCTGTTTGGTCATTTAATATTGTTGTAGCCATTGTGCTACATTGTTTGTCGCATCTTGCAACGGCAATTTGCTGCATATTTTTGGACAAGCTTTGCTACTTGACGCATTCAACAGAAAACTCAATCAAATGGAGGCAAGTGGTGGCAACAACAACAGCAACAACAGCAACAACAATAAGATTCCTGCTACACATTGTGTGTAGTTTTATTCGTTTAAATTCAATTGACTTTGAATGCTCCACAATGAAGGCAAACAAGCGACACACACATAGGCACACACGCACAACCAAACACAACAGAGACAGATCTGATCCAGAATCAACGTTGCCGTCGTTGTTGCTATTGCTGCTATTGTTGTTGCTGTTGTTGCTGTTGTTGTTGTTGTTGATGTCGTTGAAGCGCACCGAGCGGCGCAACGGAAAACGAATGAGGGTCAATTAAGCCAATTTAAATTTAATAAACTTATGTATTATGTGCAAGAGGTTACTAGCCATAGCAATATGCCATATATGACTTGTTATGATACACAGACACCGAGAGATGGGTAGAGAGCAGGGGATAGAGAGAGAGATAGAGAGAAAGGGAGAGAGAGAGAGGCAGGCAGTATTCCAGAACTGTTTCTGTATTTAATTTTCTTTTTTTTTTTTTTTGGTTTTCGGGGGTGGCAAACAAGACTTGATATATCTAAGTACATTTCAGACGCGGGCTGCACATAAGGTTAAGTATATATACACACATATATATACATATATATATATATATATATATATGTATTAATAGCATCAAACTATATAAATTATAAAGTGCATAGTTCAGAATACATTACTATGCCGATGGCATATGCAGCACTTACTTAAGCTGTCATTTCAGAGGGATTGGAGTGAGCGTGGGGGGAGGGGGGGTGGGGGCAGGGGTGGTGCACAAATATTTGATGTGTGATGCCATGTGGTATGTAAATACCTACCATATACATACATACGCATATGTAACTCATCATTTTAATATCATTTGCATAGCTCTTTCACTCTCACATGGATTCGCGCTGACGAACTTGCTCTAAGTGCGGGAAATTAAAGCTGAAGAACTCACTTTCAACGATGGCGAATTAAAGCTAGATAAATTATTCTAATTAGAGGAAGATTAAAATTAAAAAACTCTCCCTGAAGAAGAATTTATTCTGAGGAAGGCACTTCAAGTAAAGGAAGATGCAAGCTGTAAAACTCGCTCAAAATGCAGGAAGATTAAAGCTGAAAATTGTTCTCTTATTGCAGAAGGAGTTAAGCTGAAGAACGCACTTCAAGTGTAAGTATATGCATGCTGAAGAACTCGCTCTTACTTCAGAAGGATTCAAGTTGAAGAACTTGCTCCAAATGCGAGAAGATTCAAGATGAAAAACTCGCTTTTATTTCAAAAGGATTGTTTTAGCTGAAGAACTCGCTCCAAATATAGGAAGATCAGAGCTGAAGATTTCGTTCCAATTGAAGAACGATTAATGCTGAAAAACTCGCTCATATGTAATATGGGTTTAACCTTAACAACTCACTCCATTTGCAGAAGAATTAAAGTTGAAGAGCTCGCTCCAAACGCAGGAACATTCGCTCTCATTGGAGAAGAATAAAAGTTGACGAACTCCCACTTCAATGCGGAAGGATTAAGGCTCGCTCTCTATTGATGCTAGGACATGGTGTGACTTATATTTGGTATATATAGTACTCCATAGAACTTACTTTTAGTTTGTGTCCAGGACATATCGCTTTCCTAAGTACTAGTGCCGCAGGAGTTAGGTTTGTGTCCGCAATGCCTCCTGCTGCCCAAGTGCTTATTAAAGCGACGAGTTTTCCACCAGCAACAATCAAAAATGTACTTTATTTTTTTTATTTTATTTTCCTTTTATCATTTTATTACTTTTAATTGATTTAATAGTACTTTTTTGAATAGCTATAAATACTATTTTTTGTTGACAATTTATACTAATCTTTGCAGTTTAATTTTATTTTTTGCTTTCAGCTTAAAATTAACATATTTCTGGGGCAGAAATTGTCTAAAACACGCACACACACATACATTAGTACTAATTATCTAGACTGTGTCGCCAAGAGTGTTTTCTTCGAATACGAAGACTATACATACATATATATATATACATATATACATATATATATACACATATAAATATACATATAAATATATATATGTATGTATGTTTGTTTAGGAAGTCTGTTTATGTCAATTCATTAATAAATTAATTCATTACGCAATGCAAATTTAGTTGAGAACACAGTTAGCCTTTAATTGTTCTATATGCATATATATATATATATATATATATATTATGTATATATACATATATATATCTTAAATACTTAACATTTTATTCTGGTTTTCTTTTCTAGTTTTGGGTAACCTTTCCACAGTTAAAACTATTTATGCAACAGCATCGAAAACAATATATTATAATAGAATTTCATTTATTTACAAATAATTTAACATTATCATTGCGTTTTAGGCATTACACAAATAAATTCCGGGAAAACATTTATGCTGTACGAAGACTTTTTACCATTCGTTACACAAACTAACTTAAGACTAAACTAAATGTTTATATATACAAGCCTTATTAGTTAGATATGTCTAGTTATAAATACACACACATAAGAAGTAGTTAACTAGGGCGAAAATCAATAGGTAATACTTTCATAGACTTTGAGAATTGGACATACTTATGTACATGGATATATATCAATATATATATATGTATGATATCTCAGAAATGTGACTCCCGCAGAACTCTGTTGGGTCTGGCAGAGTGCAGCTCCTGTTTAGATAAATTTGATAGCAGGGCATAAATTAATTGGAATTGTTTCTTTTCTGAAAACGATTTTTCATTGATATTCTTTTATATTTTTTAGGTAGGGCTCACATTAACCACATCTCAGGGATAAGCATTATTCTGATTCAAGCAAAAACGTTAGATATGATTTGCAGTTTCTGGGTTTGTCCGGGATATGTAAGTATGTAAATGTAAATATGTATGGATTGCATCGAAAAAAATAAACAAAAAAGAATATGATAAATTAAACAACAGATATGCATGTACATATATATGCTGCATCATTAGGTATTCGTTCAACGTTAACGTTTAGAGTATTAGGTCTTAATTACAACAAATGACAGCGAGTTAAGTATTTACAAAACGAGTGGATTGCAATTACACATTTGGCATTGTTACCTAAATAAATAATGCAACAATTACACAGAAATGCTTAAAGTTAAAGAAGTCTTGCCTCAAACCATGCGAGTAAATATCTATATACATATGTATATAGGTGTATATGTCCAGCTGCTAGGGTATTACGATATTTATGTATTAATACAATTGCATTTGTTTTTACACTCACACACAACTACATTGATCTCTATATATATATAAAGTATATATATATATATATATATATATATATGTATATGTATAATTATTGTATGCAGATATGTAGCTTTAATGCATGTATGAAGCTTATATACAACTTTCCTGTATGCGATTCGAAGTGGTGACTACCTCGGGCCGAAAACGATATTCACTTAATGACGAGGTCACCGATGCATTATTCGGACTGAGCAGACTGACTTCCATTGGCTGCGGTGTTAGATGATATGATGATGAGGGCGTCGATGTACTTATATTATATGTCAACGCACCCAGCGGCGGGCTACACGTGGTTATGCCCTTCTTATTGAGTGTAGCATAGCTCTGTGGGCGGTAGCGATAGAGGGGGTATATTTGAGTGCCGGCTAGCATTTGTATTATCATGTAATGTACGCCGATTTCGATTTTAGTTACTTACAATTTGTTTACTTGGCCGGAACGTATAGTGCAGCACCTCGTTGCCTGAATTGCTCAACAGGCCAATGGTATTGGCATCCGTGCCAACCAGACCTGCCACCACACCCACGCTGTCCGCATTGCTCTTGAGCAGCTCCGCGTCCCGCCCACCACAATAATCGCGATGCGTAAGCCGCGTCGCGGGACTGGCAAAGCCCGGTGATGCGCCCAAGGCTTTTAGTGGGCGTTTCTCTGTGGGAAAATAATAATAATGGAATGGAGGAACAGTTGGTTGCAAGGACTTGGGGAATTCCCATTGGAGCACGTACCATACTGATTGGGTATAACATCTGGATCGGTGTCATCTATCTCAGCCTGATCGCTGAGCACTTGTGCATTAGCCCGAGTGCGCGCCGTGGAGCGCATCGTATCGCCGCCCATGGAGATGGCCAAGCCCTGGCCACTTGGCGATGTTCTCGTGCCACTGTCTATGCTTACCTCGCTCAGTGTGCCACGTTCGACCGCATTCCGATTATCACAATTAATTGGAAGGAGACTGTGGTGCGACTGGTGATTGGACTGCTCGTGCTGTGCCTGTCCTTGCGGCTGGCCATGGCCATTTGTGTGGGGGTTGGGATGCAGCGGGTCCAGCTGGCAGTCAGTCGGTATGGCCAATTGTGTGTGCTTTACGGCCTTCAGATTATTATCGTTGCGGCTGCAATTCAAATTTGTGCATTAGGCAAACTGGTTGCCCATTAAGCCGTGCAATTAAACATACCGATTTGAGAATCTTCTATATATGGCGGCCAGTATGATGCAGGATATGGCAAACAGCAGGCCACAGACGAGCGTCAGGCCAGCCAGGAATGGCGACAGCGGCACACTTAGCCCCGTGGAGCTGCCTGCAAAAGTTATAAATCATGATTATGAGGTTCAGTTTCAAGGCATACGCTAGTTTCAGTTTTCGAACTGACCGGTTAGTTTCGCCACGCCCTTAAAGTTGATGTCGTCTATAATGATCGGCTCCGAGCGACCCTTGACATTCACAGCAAATATGATCATGCGATAGGTGGCTGCCTGATCCAGGTTCTCGATCACAAATGTCACAGGTGTGTGCTACATTTGGGCATATAGAAATAAGGGGTAATTAATATATTATTATATTATATTATGCTAGGGAATTTCAAAAGACGACACGAAATACGAACTAGCTAATTAACTAACTAGTTAGAAATTGTATTAACTTTTATGAATTACATAAATACAAGAAAAATGCAGGCTTAAGCGACGCCAACCCCTAGAAACTAATATCTAGCTAATAAAGTCAAAAGTTTTCTATTTAATTAAGTTCTGAAGAAAAGATAAATAAATGAATCAAATAATTTATTTCTTTACAAATTTCTTTGGCATTGCGAGTAAAGTCTTGAATTATTGAGCATTAAGCAATGAAAAGTATTTATTGAAATTTATGTGGAAATAAATTATATTAAGAATTTTGTGTAAAATTGCATGCGCTACGCAGTGAAAGCGGCCACATCTAAAGTAAATATATATTCTATATATATTTAACATTTAATATACTTACGTTTATTGTTATATTTCTGGCCAGGCGCAGCGACTGCAACTCGACCAATTCGAGCATAAAGCTCTGTGGCAAGCCACCATCGAATCCCTCGACACAATCCACCTGCAGCGAATCCACCGACTGATTGCTCACCGTACAGTTTTGCAGTGGAAACGGACGCCCTGAAGATAGATCAGATCATATCACATTATAGATATATCGTATATATGTATATGTTTCGATAATGGCCGGGACCTACCCGCTGCGACAATTTGAAAGACACAGGGACTCTTCTGCAGGCCAATGGAGTTCTTGCCCCAACAGGAAATGGTGCCGTAGTCCAGGTCCGAGCTGGGCGTATAATTCAAGCGTGACATGCCCGTCTGCAAGGACAATTTGCTATAGTATTTGGTTGACCTAAGAGACCAACACTTGTGTGCCAAGATGATCAAATTAACTAAAATCCGTAACTTGAAATGCTTTGGCTCTTAAGCTCTTAAGCACCTCAATCATTTGAAACATCTTACAGTTAGGGGGAGGAGGGGCTGAATGGGGTCTCACCTCGCTGGAGTGCAGGCGGGCGGGCAGCTCCGTTTGCTCCCCGGATGAGTTGAAGGTCCAGTGGAAGGAGTCGGCGGGCGGGGAGGCGTCCACTTCGCACTTCAATGGCAACGTCTCGTGCTTGAGGGCGCCCAACAGCTCCTCGTGGTCGATGGCACAGATGGGCGCGTCTATGGGCGAAATAAATAATTAAAGCATTTTATTGAAATATTTAATGCCCAGCCGAAAGTGGCTTAAATAAACCGCACAAATATGGGCTGCGGTCTTTAAAACTTCTATGAATTAATTGGGGACTGCAGTTGTTGCCCGCTCTCATTTGGGATACATGAGCCCATTCGCGCTGGAGCCAGAGGCAGAGCCAGGGACAGAGCCGTGGCTGGTGCCAAGGCAGGCCATGCATTCATTGCGCCATAATCTTGGTCATTAACGTGGTGTATGGGGGCTGGTTTGGGGCATGGGGCGTGGGGCATGGAGCTTACACTCAGTTACGCCCACGCCCACTCAACTTTGGTGCGACGGCATTTGGACTGCGGCCAAGCCGGCAATGAAAACCCCTTACGTAAATGCATTAAAAGACATTCAAGCTCAAGGATTAAATTGTAAATTACATAGAGACGTTGGCCAATGCCAAATTGCCGTGGCACCCAACCCAACTCGGTTCCCAACAGTTCCCAGTTCACAGATTGTCCGGGCATTTACTTACAGCGTATGCGCAATGTGACCGGATTACTGAGGCCTTTGCCCTCCGAGTTGACAGCCAGACAGGTGTAGTCACCGGCGGAGGCGCGCGAGACGCTCTGCAGCACCAGGGATTGATCCGACAGGATGATGCCCACAGAGATGTTGTGCTGCAGCTCCTTGCCCTGTGCAACGTTGTTGATGGTTGCGTGAGTTGCTTTATCATTGCCAAACATTATAATTATAGCTTACATTGTGAAACCAAGACATCTTGTAGGGCTTCGGGTTCGATTGCACGATGCACTCGAAGTAGGCATCATCGCCCTCCTTAATATCGTCCGGATTCAGCGAGGAGCCCATCTTCAGCAGCGTTGTGGGCTGGTCTGCAAAATGCAAACAGAATTTCTCATTGTCTTCTATCACAGCCAGGATCTCTGAGTAATTAGAAATCGCTGCAGGTGGCCCACACCGCCCACACCGCCCACAGCGCCCACATCCCCAACAGGCAGCTTCGTCCTTAAATACCTAACCAGCCACTTACAGTGCACAATGAGCCGCCATTTGTCCTCGATGGAGCTGCCATCGATGAATTGATTTTCTGCCCGACATGTTAAATATTTGCCATCGTCCTCCCGGGTGGGCGTGAACGTCAGTATACTTAGGGATTGATTGTCTGGCTCATTAAACTAAAAAAGAAGCGCAAACAGAGTCCATTACGAAATGAATAATGAAAAAGAAAGCTGAGGCGAGAGCAAAAGCCCAAGTGTAACAGAAACAGATACAGACACAGAAACTGAAAGCGAAAGCTTGACCGTAACTCTAAATGAAAATAGCTGCAATTATAAGTACACTTAACGCCCCGAGGGCCGATCAATACGTAATGAGCTTACATATTTACTAACGAAACAAATTATCCAAATTTAGCAACATCACAAAACTAAAACTTTACTCGCAGTTTATTATTTATTCCGTTGAGCCGAGGTAAAGTTTTGTTTTCTTAAATTATTAAGGAGCATAGCTGCTCGTAGTATTCATTATTTATCGACCTTAACTTTAAATCAATAGAGTTTTCTGTTATCTTTTAAATAACTTCGAAGTGCCGAAGCTTGAATACCCTTACTCTAGTTCTTAGCAGGCTTGCGATAAAAAGCAGACTTCATTTATGATGGAAAGTTTGGTGCGATTTGATGATATATATTAATTGTTCGGATGTTTATTTAATATAATTATACATATCTAATGCAATAAATTTTAATATATAATAATATAGATTAACGTACAATAATATAATAAAAATATACCTATAATAATTATAAATATAATTAGCTTATATATCGAAAGGATAAGAAATATATTAAATCAAGATTCTTTTCATTTTTGATTTTAATAAATTAATTAAATCAAACAAACAATTTGGTTTATAACTGAGGTATAAATGGTTAATGCTTGGTTAATGCTTTATGAATTTTATGAACTTCTTAATTTTATATATTTATATATTATTTAAGTTATTAAGTTATTAAGTTATTTATTGATTTCATATATATACATATATTTTTTATATATTTATTTATTTATAATTATTATATTTTTAAATATATTTAAGACTCTGAAATTTTTGGAAAGCAAGCCCATAAATTTGAATTAATTTTGATAATTTAAATGTTTTATAATTTAATAAATAATATATATATATATATATATATATATATACATGTATATATAATTATTATGTTAATGTTGAGGGTCGCATTTATCTACTTACATCAACGTAATTAGTACGCGCAAAACATGTTAAGCCCTCTGTTCTTTCCTAAATCAATAAAATGGCATTTTGGAAGTGAACCCAAAAATGCTCGTAATTTAACCTAATTAGAATCAATTCGGTTATTATTAATACTCTTAAGAGTTTGCTTAAGTGGGTTATTTAGTTAGTTAATTAAGTACTTTTCATATACTTAAACTAACATAAATATATTTAAAAAAAAAATAAATTTAAATTACAAAGAGAATTAAAAACCTAACTTCTCGATAAGATAAGATCCCACTTACACATACATACATACAATATATAAAATATAAACATGGAATATAAAATAAAAGCAAAATACAAAAACCTTTCTGTAACTTCTAGAGTAAACCCATAAAATGTTAATAAATTTATTTAATTTGAATCAATTTTGTTTTCTTTCTTGTAAATGGGCTAATTAGTTATTGATCTAAACTAACCAATACACATACACACATATGTGTGTGTAAGTACACCATTATATTAATTATTGTGTTTTCTTAATATTAATGAGCGCGTGTAGTTGTACATATTGAATGGGAAGCGTTTATTTATTTTGAAGGGCGGGGTGGTTGAAATACTTACATTCTTGGTGAGTTTCTTTAGCTGCTTGTTGCCCTTCCACCAGGTGATTAAAGCCGGCGGCTTAGAGCCGGAACTTTTGCACTCAATGTCATAGGTACGATCCGCGGAGACAAAGCGATCCTTGGTCAGGATATGCACGGCAACAGGTTTCACTGTGGACAATAAAAGCAATGGATGAGCATCTAAGCCAGACATTAATCCAGCTGTTAGACCCACAGTTGACATCCAATATGACGACCTTGTTGTTTGGCGGCGTCAGATTCGTATTGCTGGCTACGCACACAAGTCGCGCATTCAGATGCTGTCGGCCAATATTGGGATAGGATAAATGGTTTATGGTTTTGCCATCGGCGCGCTGATCAAATGACTCATCGATGACCGTGTTATCCAAGTACCAGGTAACATTGGGGCGCGGCCGACCTATAAACCATTTAATAAATCAATTAGATGCACGGCACCCGGGCGCTGTAGGAGGGGGAGGAAGTTGACCCTTACCGCCGGATACCTCGCAGGCCAGCACAATATCGTTGCCTTCGTTGAAGGACTCCACATTGCTGGTCTTGTCATGCCTGTTGGGCTCATAGATAATGGGTCTATCCGGTGGCACAATAACAGTCAGGTTTATCTTCAGATTGCGGGTGGGCGAGTTACGAAAGTCCACACGACACCGATAGGCGCCCTCATCCTCAATCCGCACATTGTCGATTTTCAGCTGCGCTGGATGCGAGGTGCTGCTGAAGTGGGCCCGCGTCCCGAAGGCCAGCGGCGAGGACCAGAGACGCGCCTGCCCGAATTGACGACCGCGCACATCAAAGCTGCAAATATAGAGTTTGGACGCATGCCGCTGCAAATGGGCCAAGTTGCTAATTAAAAACTCCGCACGACTCACTTGTAGATGGGCTCGCCATCGCCCTCGCGAAACCAGAGCACCATATAGACGGCATCGTCGCGTTCCAGCGGCGTTATATCACACGGCAGCATTGCCTGCCTGCCCAGGACACCCTGCACCGATGTCAACGGCACCGGTCTGTCCAGCTCGTGTATGAGCTCGTCCGGCTCCAGATAGGAGCACGCCGTCTGACTCCAGCAACTGGCTATCAGCAGCAGGACAACTAAATGCACCGATGCCATCTTTTCATTCTTACGCAGCGGGTATCGTTGACAGCTGACGTTCTGTTGGATCTGTTGCTGATCCAGCTCCTGCTCCTGCTCCTGCCGGCAATTGCAATTGTAATCGTTGTTGAGCTCAGAATGCATTTCTCTGCTTGCTTTCCTTTGCCTATTAATTCATTTATATATATTTCACTCGTACTCCTTTAAGCCTTCAAGTGGAGATTAAGTGCCCGTGTCAAGTTGTTGGCCATCTTGGGCTCGGTTACGAGGGGGTTGCTTCTCTTTCTGTGGGTAAAGCGTAAATGCATTCAAAGCACATATATATAAATGAAATGTGTTTGTGGCAACACTTAATGAAATGCTTCAAACACACATGGTCAAACTATTTGCATTTCAAAGGAAAAATTAATTATATTATTGACAGAAATACCGGAGGAAAACTATCTTTAAGTTTAAATACTTTTATTGAATTTCAGTTTCAGGCAGTTTAGCAAAAGGTAATCCGATCCCAGTGCCAATTGTAAGCCTGAAATATTACCTCTTTTATATGTGGATTAGCTGAATTGTTATCAAATTCTGGGGAAGAGACAATTTGTTATACAATAAAGTTCACATTTGCTCCGCTCTCAGTTACTGAGTTTATGGAGCGCAGTCTATAGATGTAGTTGTATCTAAAGCTGATTGTAAATTGCAATTAGCGATTTTGCTGCAATTATCCGTGTATGCAAGAAGTTGCTGTGGTTGTATCCACAACAAAACATTCAAAATATCGCAATGGGCAACCTAAATCTACCAAAACTATCTTGAACTGCACTTTCTAAGCTATATCTTATATAGATACAAGCATATAAATGAGTTTGAAGTAGAGCAAATAAAGAACTAAAAGTTGGCATCATCTAAAACTTGCCGCCCATTCCGTCTCTTGGTGAGATTCTTGAAGTCGAAAATTAACATTAGTTAATACTTTTCACGCAGGAAGTTAGGATTTTGCGAAAAGCGTGAAACACGTCTTGAATAAATTTTCTTAAAGATTTTGGCAGTATATTTTAATCCGCAACTTCACACCCAATTCTTTAAACTTCATTCCCCCCAAAAAGGGGTGAAATTTCTGAAAACTGTGAAAAAACTATCAACAAAGATCTTTGAAAATGAATAAGAAGCTGATTGGATGGTGGATTCCACGAAACAGTTTAAAAATTGATTTGAACAAAAATCTTTTAACATCAATTAGAAGCCAATCGGAGGACAAATAAAAGTTGTATACAACAAAAAAGTTTGAAAGACGTCTCAGAAGAATTCTCAAAGAGATATTCGGACGTAAGTTTGAGCCCGAAGCGTCGCCCAGCAAATCTTTGTAGTGTACAAGTGTAAAAGTGTACAACAAGTCCCAAATGAATTTGAATACAGATTCTTGGCAATTCATTTAAACGCGAATTTTTACACTTAAATCTTTAATACTCATTTCCACCAATTGGGGGTGAAATTTGCGAAAAGTGTGAAACAACTTTTAGATGGAGTTGAACAAGGATCCCCTAAGAATAAGTTTGAGTGTGCACGGATTGTAAACAAGCAAAGTTTCATGCAGCCAATTTCCACGATTTTTGCACACTTGTGGCTGGAATTACCCAAAACTCCGCCTTAGCTCGCAGCTTCATCATATAGGATAATATGGAGTAAAAATTTCAGCTCTTAAGCTTCGGGCTGTCAGGACGAACAGTTTTATATATGTGTAGGACACAAGTTTCTGTACAATACTAGGAAAAATCCACTTTCGAACATTTCTATGACAGCTGAGTATGAATGATGAAAAATCTTGAAGCGACACCAAAAATGAAATCAAGTGCAAAGCTTTTTTCAGCAATCAACAAATTTGTTTTACGATTGGTCAAAATGTTATAATTTTATATAAGATTGTTGATAACATGCATTTTGTGGCTTGCCAATCCTTTCGGGCGTACAATTCTCAAATTGAACAGTCAACAACAATTGTGAGCAATGCTTGCCAGAGCAAAAGCAAATGTCATATGAGTTCTGTTCGAAATCTTTGTTTTTGATAGATGAGCTCATGGGCATGAAAATGAATTCATGACGTTATTGCGGTCAATCGTTCAATATATATATATGTACAAATATTGGTGAAATTCTTGCTCTTGCTGCTACGTTGCCAGGTGCTCTGAATCGCTCCAGCTCAAGCTCAACTGTCAGCATAATATCTTTAAAAATGTAGAGTCATTTATTTGGCACATGGTCCGCATTGCCAAAAAAGCAAAGAAAAAACAGAAAAAAAACACTGACAACAGCTCACACAAAATAACTTTGTTACTCAGAGGTTATGACGAAAGTAAGCATGATTGGTTAGCTTCCTCCAACTGCACATTCCCATTCCCCAATCCAACTCTCGCTCATCTCGACCATAAATTGTGGCTATGGAATGTGACACACACACACACACACACACATAGTCAAAGAGCAAAATCAGAGGCTACTCTGGATTAGGCCATATGGGTATGTGCATATGTGTGTGTCTCTTACGCTCTCGACTGCCTTATAAAGGTATTAGATCTCTTGGCTGATAACGGAGAGGAGAGTTATGGGTTTTCACAAACTTTTGAAGATGTCGTGGCCAATCAAGCATGGCTCATGATCGTATATCCACAAGCACTCAAAGTTATGGCCATAATGCCCCTTTATGGACATTTAATATTATAACTTAATTAATTATTACGATATTCTAGACAAGGCAAAACAAAAGCAAAAGATATAATGCTGTCCGTAAATATGTATGGCATGGCATTCACAATTTGACTATGAATATGATTTCTGATTGTTTTTGTTGCGGCCAACTCCGACAATGGGCCTATGGGCCAGCTTTTCAGCCTTTCAGCTCGATTATTTGTTTTAAATGCCAACGATTTGTACTGAACCGGTTCTGGCTAATGCGAAACATACATCAATGAACTTGAATTCTTGCTCATTGTAAATTCATTAGGTTTTATCTGTTTTTCTGTGGCCACAAAAAGTAAAAAACGAAATAAATAATAATAATAATAATGAACAATAGATGCGCTGATTTATTAATTTTTTGCTTTAACAAATTTCGTAAATTATTTTAATGTGGTTTTAAACAATTTAAATGGCAATTTCCCAATTTAATTCATTAGCCATTTGCTTTTTGCACAATCAGACAAATGAGTTACAAATGAATCACAGCTGAACTTTGATATTTGCGCGTTGGGCAATGGCTGAATTGAAGGGAATTTATGTAAATTGAAAAACACTCAACTTACACGCATTTACAATTAAATATTTCGCTGCTGCAAAACGGGCATCTTAAATAGTGCTAAGCGTTTTCTAATGGCGGCAATTAAAACGCTTCCCGCCATAAAAAATCATTTTAAGTGCGGTGCACATGTATGTCTGGCGGGGGGCTGGCTGGCAAAGGGGTTGGCTGGTTCTTAGGAGGGGAGGTTGAGGGTTTGGGGAATGGGGCGTTGCCCATTGCCACATCTCGCATCCAAGGTGCGAATTTGTTTTTCAGCATGAGAGCAGATCAAAAGATATTTGCATATTAAACGCAGCCAAAGGTGCCAACATACGCTTCACAAAGAACAACAGCGGCAACAACAAGAAATGGAAGTTCTCTTTGTGTTGCCGAAGTTTAAATACCCTTTAACTGCTTTTCGCTTTTGAGAAATATAAAGGAAGTTTTTCCTATTAAATTAGCAACTATTTCTATCTCTCTTCGGTTTATGGACAGAAATTAATTGAAAAGAAGAGAAGACTTTGCCATGTTTCAGCAAGCTTAACTCAAGCTGAGCGCTTTGTTTGCCTAGAATAAGATGGACAGGTGGGGGGGCAAGGCGGGATAGGCGTGATGAACCCACCTGTTGAGACTGACTATTAATGTATATATCTATAGCTATTGGTTTTATGCGTAGCACAATGGGTGACACACTTACAATACCCAGCGCAAGGGTATACTTACAAGTGCAGCTTGTCATTTAGCAGGCTCCTTTGGGAGCGCCTGTGTTTGCTCAGATACTTGGTGCATATATCTTTTACATATTTAATATATGAGCGGTTAAGTTTGTTAACTGCTTGATGGGCAGCCGGTTATAAAGGCAGGCGTGTCGGCCGCTTTGAGTGCGGTTTGTTCAAATCGCCCGTTGTTTATTTGCTGGCCATTTTCAACAAAAACACCTTCAGCTCCAATACAAAATACTTATAATACAAACCGGTTTCCCTATTTTTCTTCACAAGTTTTTTTCTTTATATTTTTGCCTTTTGATTTAACAAAAAAAAAATTGTACACGACGCTTTAAAATGCTAAAAGATGTTTGGGCCGAGTGCTGGCGCTGTGGCTCGAACGCTCTGGTGTTGCTAATTAAGATTACAGACATTGATACTTTACGGTACGCAGTGGCACGTACAAATACAGATACAGATACGGATACATAGTAAGCAGGTAGTATACAGGTACACAGCTATATAGTATATAGTATAGTGTGTGCTTGTGTGTGTGTGTGTGTGTTCCTGCCTTAGCTTTGTAAAGTTTTATGAGTGCTGCCCAGCAGCAGCAGCGGCGGCGGCGACAGCGGCAGCGGCAGCCAGTTGATGGGCATATTAAGGTGCTCTATCAACAACTGACAGCAAGGTAAGGGCCTTTTTGGCTTATTAATTATGTAGCTTAATTTGCGATTATGCAGATATGAGCATACATTTTCAAGAATTGTATTAGCTGCCTGATAACTCACCAGTTTAATATATGTGCATACTCGAAATCGGTTCATTCAATATTCCATGTTGTTTTTATTTTATTTTATTTAGTTTTTTTTGTCTTCTTATTGTGTTTTAGCTGAGCTTAATGCTTCAACTGTTTTGTTATTGTTTCTATTTTTGTTAAAAGGTTTTTTTTTTAATACCAGCTGATCAGTTTATAAGATCAATGCGCGACACGCCGTCTGAGCTGAGTTTGAAATTAAAAATATATTTAAGTATATACTTATATAGAGGTTAGGGTATATGCATGTGTCTGCTTTAATAAGACACTGCCTAACGAGCGCACGCACTTAATTGGCCAAGATTTAGGTTCACACTTTTGGCCATATCATTTAGCACTAGACCCACGCAGGAGCACAATAAAAATACATTTCTCATATTGTTGTGTTGTTGTTGTTGTCGTTGTCGGCGCTGCCAAGTGTAATCAAGTGCCACTAAAGATCTCTCGAATCTCTCTCGTTTTGACAACTATTACCATAACAAATCAGCGCGCCTGGCTCTGACAGGCCAATTGAAGTGCACAGCCCAGCAGCAAACAGCCGGAACAACTGCAAAAAAACGGCGACAACAACGACAATGTACAAAAAAAGATATTTACACGGCACACTATCGAGGGGGGGAGGGGATTACGCGGGGTGTCGCGGGGGGTGGCAGGCACAGCTTAGGTAGTAGTCGACAAACCGCCAACGCCAACCAGTCACTGTTAACGTTACCGTTACAGTTACAGCGTCACCAAACAATTCCCGCAGCGACAGGGGAACGGGTACGGGTTTGGGTAGGAGGCGAGGGAGAAGGGCGACAAAAACGTTGACGAGCAACGAGAAACGAGCCAAAGGAACGGCTAGGACCACGTTCACGGGCCGTGCTTGGGCTTATCCTTGTGTCTGTATTCGCCTGTTTTTATGCCACAGTCGTAAATTCCAATTATCGACGAAGTCGCAGCACGGCGGCAACAGCGCCAACTAGCCCCGCAAAGAGCCAACAGGAGCAAAAGCCGGCCTCGAGTCGACTCGAGTCGAGTCGGGGCAAGGTGAGGTGAGGCGAGACGAGACGAGTCGAGCTATGTGAAGTGGAGCGTTTTTCAAAGTCAGAACCCGGCACGCGGCGCACGAACCCGGAATAATGTTATTCTTGTTGTTGTTGTTGTTGTTGCTGCTGCTGCTGCTGCTATTTTAGTCACTGTTTTGTTTCGTTTTCATCAATATATTTAAATTTTGGTAATCCTTGTTGTGTGCCATCAGGTAATGCAATTTGTATTGTGAACTGCGGAGCACTGTAACTGAAATTTAAATTGGAATTGCCCGAGCACTAGTGAAGGGGTCAATACAAATTATATGCAGGACAATATTGAATCAATTGCACTCATTACATTTTTTTTGGGTTTTTGGTTAAGCACTTAGGCAAGGCGAAGTCACTAAAATATCACAAATACCTTAACAGTCTTTACACACACACAGACACAGATGCAATAAAATTTAACATTTGTGCGTGCGTTTGAGTTTGCCTGTGTGTGTGTGTGAGTGTACGAACGTGTGGGTGTGTGAGTGTGCTTGGTCTGCGCTTTAAACGGATACCCTAAAGCGAACGTATTGGGCTACATTTCAGCGTACGAGCGCAGAGTCCGTGTGCAACATGTGTACCGTTATAGCTTCGCGTATCAACTGGATACACGACTTCGCAGTCGTCGCTGCGCTGGTCTCGTGCTGTCGTCGCGTCGCTGCGACTCTGCTTTGATTTTTCGAAATTCGAGTTCGCGCTCTAAAGAGAAAATCGAACTGTGTACAACAGCAGCCCAAGCAGCCGAGACGGCAGCTAAAGAGCTCAGCAATTTCGAGCTACTTGGACGTGCCTTTGATTTTATTTGTGGCAGCATGCATTTATCAAAGAAATTATGGAAAAATGTATCAAACTTTTTAAATTTCTTTTTTGCATACAAATAAATTTGTATATGACTTTAAATGTTATTTACTTTGCTAATAGATACTGGCTCTGGGATGCTTTTAATATACGGACAAAAAACAGTAACATTTAACTATATTTTTGTGAATATGGACTTGCCTTTGATTTTATTTGTGGCGGGCATGCATTTATCAAAGAATTTAGGTAAAACTGACCAAGTTTTAAAAAACTCTCTGGCATATTTAAGTATGAACAATTATATACTAGCTCTTAGATGCTACACTTTGGCACCTTCAATAAGCTTTATTCAATTTTTAAACAATACCTTACACATACGTATTAGCATCTCACAGATACTTGTGTATCTTATTGATAAGTCTGAGCTCGATCGTAAAGCGGCATCTAATTCAATAACAGTAATAGGAAAAATTAAGCTAATAGCATAACATGCTATCAGACTGCGCTCTTCTGTTAAACGAGCATGCTTCAGCCACTGCTTTGATTTTTCGAAGCTCGAAAAAGAGCGCCTAACATTAGCCACAGCACAGCTGAAGAGAGGTAAAGCGTGTAACTTGGCGATATTCGAGTTGTATGTTAACATTATTGAATATCGTAGATGCTTGATAACGGTCGCTGTGCCTAACATGCGGCTGTTAGAGCTCGAAAAAGTCTTTAGTGGGAAGTCCTGTGTAACAATATTGAAATATTTACTGTAATATTTATTAAAAAACAGTCTTCATTCGACACAAAAACTGTGTATGTTTTTCAATCGTACATACTGCGAATGAGAATTTTATTAATAAATACTTCTTTGGCAACTCTTGTGGTTGCAATTAAAAGAAATCTGTATTAAAATAAGATGTATAAAAATTCATAATTAAATACTTTTAAAATTTGTACTATATACCAAAACAGGTTTAAATCAGCTTAGAACCATTTATGAAGTGTTTTATCGTCGAAAATACATAAAAAGATTATATGCCATCGGCGACCATATTCGACAAGTTTTTAATTGGTTTTGGAGTTGGTGCTAATTAAATACTGAATTTGTTTTCAATAAACCAAATTGATTAAATAAAATGCTGAATTTATATTGAAACGGTTTTCAATTGAGCATTGTTGTTTGTTTTTATAATATCATAACAGAGAAAGCTAATTATCACTGCTCAAGTGCCTGAAGTTATTTGAGCATCAAATAATATGTTTCTGCCCATATGTATCTACTATATTTAATCAATTAATTAATTAATTATCACATGCACATTAGCATAAGTAGATGCAACGTTGGCTGGTCTGGTCTTAATTAAAAGATGACTTGCCAAATATTAGGCCTAATAACTCGAATCGACAGGTTTTGGATAGACGGCAGTGAGAACAGACACATTATTGACATTTCTGGCAAGAGCTGAGAAATTATTGAAGCCACAAAATTGTTGGCAAACAGAACAAGTTCCAAATAAATCCGTTTGATCGGCAGCGTATATAATTTGGTATCAATCAATATGTTGAGCTGCTTTTATAAATAAATTCTTCAGCCTCTGAAGGAGAAGTAGATTTCCATAATTTTATTTTCTGTGTGCTCTCTCTCCCTCTATCTCACTCTCTGTCTTTATTATTTTGCAGAAAACAATTCACTTTTATATGGCCAGATGTTATTCATCATGTGGCTTTGTTGTGCCTTATCGTGTGATTGATGCGCCATATTCACACGATTCGATGGCGATATCGGAAAGGAAGTAGTAAAGATGCTCAAGCAATTTACGAGTACAAACACAGCGTCTTACATATGCACACTGAGAAAAAAACGATGAACGAAATTGTAAAATGAATATGCCTTAATTAAGAAATTAACAAGTACAAACAAAGCGGCTTGTATATGTACATATATATGCTTATACACTCAGAGAAAGACGATGTTCGAGATTGTTACATTAATATGCTTTAATTTTCAAAGTGTCCTGCAATCAGAGAAAAAAGCTGTTCGAAGTTGTAATTTAAATGTTCCTTATTTAGGAATTTACGAATACAAGCATAGCTTCAAATATATATAAGTTTATATACTTGTACACTTAGAGAAAAACTAAGTTGGAAAATGCAAAATGAATATTCTTAAATTAAGAATTTACGATTACAAAACACAGCATCTTACATATATGTCGTATATTTGCTTATACACTCGAAATTGTAGAATTTATAAATTTTAATGAACCATCTTTGTAATATGAATATTATTTTTATTAAGAATGAACCATCTTTGGTATAAAAGCTCGAAGGTTTATTATACAAAAAGAACTTAACACATTTTTACAAGAGTTTTTGTACTTGAATTAAGTCTGAAATGGCAGCATAAAATTCCATAGATTAATAGACTTTAGCTTAGTTTATTTATCATTAAAAAAAAGTTATTTAAAGCAGAAATACTAAAGATCGTTTTATTAAGCATTAGATAAAAGTTAATTATATTTGGAAGAATTATTTAAATATAGTTAAACTAGAATTAGATAAAGTTAATTAAGGAAGAATTACTTAATAGTAGTTAATTTAGCACTCTATAAAAGTTAATAAAAGAAGAATTGCTGAAGATTTTTTAATCTAGCATAATATAAAACTCAACTTTTGTGGATTCTTCTTTAAGAATTACCTAAAATTAGTTTATCTAAAATTCGATAAAAGTTATTTAAAGAAGAAGTACCTAAGATTAGTTAATCTAGCATTTGATAAAAGTTTACAGCATAAGAAACTTCAATCTTTGCAACAATGAGAATTTCGCATTAATCTAGCATTGAATAAAAGTTAATTAAAGATTAGATGAGAGTTAATTTTTAAATAAATACTTAAGATAATTTAATTTCGCATTAGCTTGAAGGAAATTAAAATATAGCTACTTAAGATTGGTTAATCTAGCACAAGATAAAAGCTTATAAAAGAAGAATTAAATAAGTTAATAAGTTAATCTAGCATTATCTAGCGTTAATTAAATAAGAATTACTTAATATTAGTTACACAGCAATAGAAACTTCAATTCAGGCAACGTTAAGGACTTAGCCCCAAAATTAGTGAGCACTTTTTCTCTAAGTGCGTATGGCATATGCACTTTAGAGTACATTATGACCACCCATATATATATATATATAAAAATGTCGGAGTGCAATCACCTGGTCCACAATCGAAACGGGTGCATTAAATCGTTAAAGTAACATATACAAATTAATGCAAACAAATACACGAGTGCTTCCAACAATTCTTCGTTTATTGTTTCCCATTCCCATCCCCATCCCCATTCCCAAAGAGCCAGGGACGGGGGGCAGATCTTGTCAATAGTTACGACTTTCTGATGTGCCATGGAATGCAAAGCAGATCAAAAGCCCAGGCACGAGCGACAGAGGCACGAGGTGTGAGAATTCTCAAGTGAGCTGGCCGTGCACTCAGCTGCCGCAGACGCAGTCCCAGGCGGGACTGCAGCATCTCGGACTTAACACTGGGGATTTGTGGTTTATTTTTGGGCATTCTGCTGGCTGGGCGAGCTCATAAAATAGGTGTGGTCATATCATCAATAAATATTCTTTGGCTGCTTCAATAAAAAGAAGAGCGACTAGCAAATTAGCTAGAAAAATACAGAAACAAAAAGGAAGACAATGTTTAGAGCTGAAAGCAGTTGCATGCTGTGTGTTGCAGTGTAAAAATAGCTGCGTCAATGGCATGCGTATGTAAACAAAAGAAAATGCACCGCATGAAATGTATCTGCAGCTGCAGCCGTAGCTGTGGGTGTATCTGCATCTGTATGAAATGCTCCGATCGCGTGTCCAGGCTTATACGAATGGGAACCCGAGACGATTGTGCTTTGTAATCATTTGCATTTTGTTAGGGCCATCAACAGTAACATTTTCGGCATGTATCTGCGAGATACAAATGTATCTATGCAAAACTGAGGCTGCTGGTGGTGTAGCGTTTAAAAGCTCATTTCTACATGCGTTACATGTGTTCCACTCAGCACGAACATTTATTATGCACAACGCCAAAAGGAGTGCCTCGTCACAGATGTATCAGTATCTGTATCTGTAAATGTATCTATGGCTGTGGCTATGCCTGTGCAATTTGCATAGGACATATATTATGTTTTCTAGGTTTTTTTTAATGAATTGCTTGTCAAACAGCAATTAATGGCAGCTGGCTGTCAAATTAGACACAGCATCGGCTATTGATGCCTTAATGACAACTTCCAAATGGAAGCACAAAGAACTTAACAAATTTATTAAATTTACAATGAATCGAGACTGAGATATGTATTTGATAATTTGGCCAAGACAACAATTTGCATATGAATGGCAAAATATGTCGTTTTTTACACAATATTTTAGCCATCTACTCGCAAATGGCGTGCTTTAGGCCATTAACGTGAGTTCGTTTCGGTTTTTATTCGAATCGGATGGGGGAACAATGATTCTGGCCTGGTCATGGGCATGTCTGTGGGTGCCTCTCAAATCTATATGCTCATCGATTTATCGTTGAACTCACACACACACTTACACACTTACACACTTACACTCAGGCAGGCAGGCAGGCAGAGCCACGTGCTTAATACGTGCTTAAATGTTAACATTTCAATTTGCAATTCGGAGCGTCTGTCGCTCTTCTTTCTCTCTGTCCGTTTGTCCGTCTGTCAGTCTGTCTGTCCGTCTGTCTGTTTATTTGCGTGTGCTTATATCGCATGGTCTGGGCAACCGTTACGCACTCGCCACGCCCAGCGTGCTAAAATGTTTTCCAAACATGCAAAGATCATTTCCACACACACAGCTGACCCAGAGCTAACCAAACCCTTTGACATGTATCTGGTTGCTGGCTCTCAAGCCCAGCCGCACATTTAGATACATTTTATACACATGTATAATCAGAATTCAAAGGCACGCATTATTGAATAAGCCCCGAAAGAATATGTATATATATATATATGTATTTATATATAATATATGCCATATAAGAGCGCTGCCATGAGTATCCGTATCCGTGGCCATCGCCCGCCGAATGTGTGTGCCCAGATAAGATACTTTATTGACATTGCGTGTCTAAACACTTTACCGCTACGCTAGTTGTTGTTGCTGTTGTTGTTATTATGGTTGTTGTTGTTGTTGTTTCTTGATTGTGATTGTGCGCTTTAAGCTTATTTGCATACCCATAATTCTTTATTCCGTGAGGTGTGCGTGTGTATTGTTTGGCACGAGCATCGCATAGATACATTTACGTGTGTATCTATCGGAAACACACAATTTTAATCAAAACACAAAAGTTCGCTGGAATTGCCGCGCATTTAAATATATATTTGGATATTAAGCAGTTTCAGATACATATTTATGCAGCTCAGCTCAACTTGGGACACACATCGATGCTATCTGTCACCTTTCTAAGCCCCAACCCGCTCCCACACACAAGCCCAATGGGCTGTTAGAGTTCTGATCATGGCTTAATCTCAGGTGAGGCTCTTTTAAGCACTTTTGTTGACCTATTCTCCAAGCAATGTTTGATTTTGGTTTTTCTTTGTTTCACATATGTCCTTTTCAGAGAAAAGCCTTAAACAAAATTTTATCATATATTAAACATACTTAACACAGCTAAAGCTCTGATTACAGATAGCTCCTATAACCGGACATATTTTGTAGACACAAGCTTTTCATAATTTTTTCTATACAAACTGCATTCCCATAAACGGACATGGATTAGGCATCTCCCATAAGCGAACACAAGCAATGATGCTGGAAAACTGGAATTGTATTACATTTTTAGTTAGAATTTTTACCAATTGCTAATGAATATTTCTGATGATGCGAAAGAGATTTGTGTTTCCCCTTTCGACAACAAATGTACAAATTCATGCCTTAAGTCTTGAGGCTGATATTCATTATAATTTGCTAATTATGAAACCTAGTATGTTATTAACTCTATCAGTCTATCTATCTATCTATTTATAACTTTGAATATGGCTTGTAAAAACAAATTTGTTTAGTAGGTTTTATTGGCAAATTACAGGCAGCTCATATGAATCATAATACAAATAATATTATTATATGGCAACCAACTGCCATAAATCTGTAAATACATAGCGACGGCGAGTCTTCGGCTATGGCAGCATTCACTGCATTTGCTCGGATTCAAAAAATATGTAACAAATTTATAATAAATACCGGACCAACAACATATCTTCATAATCAAAATGTTTTTTATACAAGAGCCTGATTTTCTAGCGATCGTTACTATCGCAGCCATATAATATTGTTGTCCAATCCGGGCATTTCCAACATATATACTGCCGGCAACAGAAAGAAAAGCCTATGCAGAATAGAGAGAATAGTTCGCAGAGAAACAGACAGACTAGATCAACTCCTCGTTGATTCTGATCTAAAATATATAAGCCTTATGGGCTTATACGTTACACTTCAATACTAATAACAATATTACGCTCTTCAAGGGTATAAAACCAAAAGAACATTTTACAAGACTATGGCACTTACTTTGCTTTATATTTAGGAATTTTATAAACAAAGAAACAAAACACAAAAAAAAGCTTTCGCTTTGTTGTTTGCTTTTTATCGCTTTGTACGCTATAATTCGCAACACGTTTAAGCTCGGAACTGAAAGTAAGGTGTATGCTATTATAGTTTGAAGTTGTTGGCAAGTGATGTTGATGATGGAACCAGGCAGGCTCTTGAAATAGATCTACTGACAATCTGCTCACCTTTTTTTTTTGACAAAAAGTCAGTAACTAGAAAACAAAAATGTTAATTTAAAATAAGTTAAGAAAGGCTCTCATTTATTTTTTGTCACTATTCATTTCTTATATCCTTATATCAAGATCCTTACTTCTTTCTAAACGTCTTCCTACGCCAAATGTAAATACTTGGAAATTCAACAAATTGAAAAACATGCGATGAGCTCGTGCATGGCCCAAATATTGCCCACATTTTTCTCTAGAAATGCGATGGCAATGCGCATTTGGTTAAGAAAAATACCAAACTTGAAGCAATCGACCACAAGACAAGTGTCTGGCCATGATGATGATTGAGCTGATGGCGATGATGATGATGTGACTGTATCCGTGTGTATTTGTGTGTGTTGTTGTTGCTGTGGTCGCCCCAAATCATTAATTTGAGAAAACGTGACTTTTTTGCCATATTTTGAATTCTAATTCCACTCATTAGTCGGCGCTGTCGCCGTTGCCATTCTAAACATAACTTCAAAAGGTGCAGACTGCACTTGTGACACGTTTCGTAATCTCTTGGCTGGGTTGGCTGCCTGCTCGGGTTGGCTGGCAAAGCCTTTTTCGCAATTTTCCATAAGCAGGCAACAACATACATTGCACTAGAAGATGTGCAGCTGTGACTGCCAAGATGCCGCAGCCGAGCAGCAGATACAGATACAGATGCTAACGCTAACCTGCAGCTAAGTACACCTGTATATATGACTGCCTCTGTGCGTGTCTGTATGGGTGTGTGTGTGTGAGTGTGAGTGTGTTGAGGGGCAACGTCAGAGTGCATTACAAGCTCAAGTACAAGCTATTTCCGCAACGGAAGGCAACACATTTGAGTTTGCCTTTTGTGCCCGAACCACCGGCTCAGGCAACAGAGCTGCGTCGTCGCCAGCTCGAGTCTAATTAAAATAAGCATGAACGCTGCAAAAGGTCGACGTTAGATAGTTTTCCAGTATGGGTGTATGGGTGTATGGGTGTGCCGACTGCCTGTTTACCCTATATGCAGTCAGAGATTCGGCATTCGGCTGCAGTTGGCAACACGTTGCATAATTGGCCATTTCTGTGTGCAGTTGCCGCACATCATGCTCAATCTTAATTAACAAATATACAAGAAAATAAAAAGAAAAAATATATATACGGAAAGAGGCGAAAAAGTGTAGCTCGACCAAAGATGCGACATAAAATGCAATTTACGACTTGTCATAAAGGGAGAGCCCGCCATATAGTAAATCATTTTTTATGTAGCCAGTTCGCAGCGACAAAGCACGAGTAGCTGGGGCTACTAACAACGCAAATAAGCCACGGTTAGGCCGAACATAAAATCCTTTAGCACCTTTAAAATGGCCAGGCCGCAGCCGGAGCCGGAGCCGCAGCTCAGCCCAAAAGCCAAGGGCCATTCGACAGAGCAGGACGAATGCAACTGCTAAACAGCGAAATTTATACAATCAACAAATGACATAAAATTTTAGCTGAACGACGCAAGAACAAAAAAGTGGAAAAAATGGAAAAATGGGAAAAAAATTACACCAGAGAAAAAATAAATTGCATGACAAATTCCTGTCGAGGGTCGCTGGTCCGCAAGTCGAAGTCGAAGTCGAATAAGGATGCCAAGAAATGATGGACGATGATTATATGAGAGGCAGGCAGAGCGCACGCTGTCTGAATGCTAGCAGGACCTCACCAAGGAAGAGAGAGAAAGGGGGGGGGGGGGGGAGAGGTAGGGTAGAGCGGAGCAACAATTTAAGTCCTCAAATTCCAGCATGTGGAGCAATAATAATAATTTTATTGTTTTAACACAGGTAACAAACAGAAAGTTATTTCAGCCACAGCTGAGCGGCTTTTAAAAACAAATCGTAGGGTGAAGCCAGCGAGAGCCAGCGAGGACAACAGCCAAGCAGCCAGTACAACAGGCGCAGGAGAAGGCAGCACCCAAACAAGGATAAGCGCCAGGCAAGCGTAAAGATACATATAAAAGAGGTTTTCGTTTGCAAATGCGACGCAGCAAGGTGTACGCTGTATACAAACAAACCAATCCCACACACACACACAGACATGGAAAGAGACAGTCACACACACACACACACACACACTCGTAACTTGAAGAAGAAACAAATAAAAATGGCGAAATAAAGCAGAAAAGATCTGCAGCGAAATATTTTTATTGCCTTTTTGGCAACACACACACACACACACATGGCTGCCCCCATCGGTGTGTGTGTGTTTGCTTGTTTATTGGTGGATCTCTTTTGATATATAAGCAGACAGCGGGGGATGGCCCCACGTATAACCCAACATAATTTACGCTCCCATAATTTGTCATAAAAATCTTCCAGTAATAATTTAATGTTGAAATGCAAATTTTTAATACATTTTCATACCCTATACGTACAGGGGGCACAAAGGATAAATCGGATACGCATTGTTGCGCAATAAGAAATTAAATATTTTTATTTAAAAATCATATTTATTCGCAATGCAGTTTGTATGAAAATATAAAAATCAAATTAATTAACAAGAAATTCGAATAGTTGCAGACCTCTGGGAATATCAGTTTTACAGAAATAAAAATGGAATAAAACAATTAAGGTAAAATAATAAGAGTGAATAAATATGATATTCGCTGCGCTGTTTTTTCTGCTACGCAGGATATCCTTTAGTCGTGTACCTCACCTGGCAACTTTTAGCTCAGCTGTTTGCTCTATAAATTTGGCCAACACACATTAAATAATTTATATCTATGTGGTACAGCTGTGCCATATATTGCATTGCCATATCTTGTAGGCTTTGGCTTTGCTGGCTTACGATTTGGCCACTTGGGCCGAGGCAATTGACTGAAATAAGTTAAGTCCTGCTGCATTTTCCATTAGTTCAGCAGAAATTTGTTATTTTAGGAGGCTAGTGACGTCACATTATCGATGGCTTGTATTCACAGAAGTATACACGGTCACACTGGCAGCGAGTTAAATAATTATGTTAAGCATTAGTGTTAAGAAGTGTCAGTCAGTGTGACGGGCGTTTAACAAAAAAAGAACTGCGAAACTAAAGAGAGAATACTTACAGACAATAATATAGTATTTAATAAAGATACCAATCTTTAAACATTTTGCTGCACAATTAAAATAGCGATTAGCAAATACGTGCGCTATACACAAATTTCGTAGTTGGAGTTGAAGTTTTGTGTGATTTACCAGCAAAGATTTGTACAACTGCCGCGACTGCTGTCAGCCTCAATTGCCACACATGAGTGCGTTGTAAACATTTTTATGTACAATCGTAAGTAACAAATATTTAAAGAACTTTACAAGATGATATGTGAGCGTGTTTTATGGCTGCTGATGCTGCTGATGCTGCTGCTGCCTGGGAGAAAGACAAATGGTTACTTCATCGCTGTTTAATCTTTATGGCGCTTAGGACCGAACCCGAACCCGAAACCGAATCCGAATCTGAACCCAAAATCCCAATTCAAACTGGAACTAAATCATAATCATGGCCAACAAATACTGCGTGTCATTTGAGCGCACACATCATAAAGCAGCAATTAAGACAATGTTAAAATCGTAAGCGTCAAAAATGCCATAGAAAACTCTGACGCTCAATAAAAAGAAAAAACTGTCATAAAAGCAAAACAGAACGACAAGGCAAGAAAGGACAGAAGGAGAGAGGAAAGGGACCCCAGCCAGACGTTAGCTGGCAAAAAAGAAGAAGTCAGTATCTTGCCGTCATTGGCAACGCGGCTAATTGCCAGTCAAAATTCTATGCGAAGTAAAAAGATGAGATAAATGCGTGGTAACAACATTAAATTCCTGGATATGAGCTCTTGGCAAGATATAAAAAGTTTCAATTTATCTTGTTACAATTGCAAAGAACCAAACGCTACAACAAGCTAGCATTTGTCTAAGACGTTCTCTTTAATTTTAATGCGAGCAGTACAAATTTAAAAATTTTTTTTCGTTTAAATTTCTTATCAATATAAGCTATTACAAATAAGCCAAGCATTGGTGTAAAATATAACTAATTGACAGCAAATGTAACGCGCTTTTACCAACATATCCATGCTTGGGCTTACATCTGTTACAAGTTTCTATGTTAAGCTTAACAGATGTTAATCGCATGAAGCGCTGTTAAGAAACACCAATAAACTTTTCACAACTTTTTACTAACTATTTTCTTAAGCATTCATAGAAAGCTTTAACATGTATATATTTAAACATATATTAGTTTTTTCTCGCTTTTACCCTTTCATTTTAATATCTGCTTGTTGCTCTTAGAAATGGATCAGAGAAAACAAAATTGCTTTTGTTAAAATAAAAAATTGTATTTTGAGCAATTGTTACGTGGCTTTAACATTTCTATGTTAAGAAAAACATCAATAATAACACATATTAATGTAAGTATCACGACTTTTACTAATTTTTCTATGTTAAGCTAAACATGTTTTTATTAACATTCATAAATGGCTGTTAATTATGTATATTGCATCATTTAGCAGTTGTTGCGCGCTTTTATCCATATTTATATTTAATCTATTAAGTCAATAATATAAATATCATTTATATCATTTTTTGTGTCCTCTTACTCTTATTTCTATGCTGAGCTTTACCTCTGTTAATAACATTTAGATCTGTTAAGAAACACACAAATAATGGAACAAAGTATCACGACTTTTTACTAACCTTTTCATTAACATTAATAGCAGTTATTTGTCTAAATTTCATCCCATAACAATTTTTAGGCGCTCTTAACCTTATTTCTATGCTGAGTTTATCATCTTTTAATAACATTCAGTTCTGTTAAGAAAAACATCACAATAAATATATATAATAAACTATATATTAGGCTAAACCAGTTTTCATAAACATTCATAAAGAGCTGTTTCTTATATATATTGCACTACTTTTCAGTTAATGCGAGCTTTTATTTTTGTTTCTGTTAAGTTTAACATATGTTGATTACATTTATATTGCAAATGTTTATATGAAAATAGAATTTTAAGCAATTCTTATGTGCCTTTAACGTTTCTATGCTAGGCTTAACATCTTAATACACCAATAAAGTAAAATTGTATGCAATTGTTGTGATTTTAAAGTTTTTATGCTATGGTTGACGCCGTTATTTACATTCATTGCACACCACAGTAGTAAAATAATCAAGCAAGTATGTATATACATTAACATTCATAAATAGCTGTTACCTATCAATATCACTTATCACTCGTTGCGCGCCTTTAACATTATTTATATGTTAAGCTTAACATCTGTTAATTACAGTTACAGCTCTAGGGCTTTGTAAAAGCACAACATTAATTTCCTTTGTGGTCAATATCAAAGCATTTTGTTATGATGGCTTCTAAACTATAAACAAAAAGTCAATTAAAATGTTTTTTTTTTTTTAACTTTTTCATATTTATTGCAGCAGGTACTCCAGTGCGCGCTTGCAAAACTTTGTTATTAAAATCTTTGCTTTAACAAAAACAAAAAGTTAATTTATACAATTTTTTTTTGAGTGCTTAGTTTATTAAACTGCTGATCTTATATACATATTTCTGTTACGAAATGGAATTGCACAAATCACAGCGATTGCCGCAAGAACCGCACACATCAAACACATGAAAAACTGATTCTGTCACCTTAGGGGTGTGTGTGGGTGTGGGTGTGGGTGAGTGTGTGTGCGAGGGGGTGTGTGGTTTTGAGCCTAACTAGAGTGTAGGGGAAAAACGGAAATGACTCTTAGGAGCAGTTCTGGCCGCAACCGATAGCCGGACGTAAAGCCAAACCATTCAGCGTACTAATGCAGACCTAAGGCAAATATAATTGCGTGTGTGTGGGTGCAATGGTGGTTGTTGGATGGCGCTCGATGGGCCGGGCCATTGTGGGCTATTTTCTGCACAATGTTACAAGACATTTGCATGCAGGCGCCATCTGGTCGGGGGTTTGGGCTTTTGGGGTATTTGTGGTAAGCGTATGGCCAGAAAGACAACAACCAAGCATTTGACAATTGTGCTGATGTCGAGCATTGGTCACCACCGACTTAAATACACAGACAATCCCCAACTGCCTCAGCTGGCCAAAGACGGCTGCTGCCACTGCCACTGCTGCTGCTGCTGTTATTGCTGCTGCATACGTGCCCAACAAAATATTGATTTAAATGAGTTTCAGTTTCGGTTTTCATTTCCTATCCCCAAAAATTCCAACAATCAGCAAATTGTGCTGCTCAATGAACTACTTTTTCTGCTCTCTCGAGCCATTCTAGTGCTACTCGTTAGATGATGGCCAGGCAAACTGCATGATAAGCAAAATATTGCACATTGATGATGAGCTGCTTCTCGCCAGCTAGCTGGAACAATGTGGCTGTGGCAAGTGGCATGTGGCATGTGTTGTTGCGTGCTGTTGCGTGTCCGCCCTGCCTGCAGAGCTAAACGCAAGTTTTGGTCTCACACATCCTTGAACTCGCGTCCTGACATTTAAGCCAAAAAATTGAATTCAATTTATAATTTATACATATATACTTGTCAAAAACTAAAAAAGAAATGCAATAATATAATATGATTGAAAATGCGAGCGAAATAAGTATCAAATTAAAAAATAGAATTTAGTTAATTTTATTCAGCTTAAGCTTTAGATCATAAAAATAATATAATATAATAACAAATAAAAAAATAATATAAAAAAAATAATAGTTATAAATAATATAAAAAATAAAATTTCCGCTTGCAGAACTGCCTTAAACTTATCTGAAAGGCAACCCAAAAATATGCTCATTGTGCTATTATTATGGAAAAGTCAGTTTGCGTTGCCAAGCAAAAACACACATCAATAATATAAACTACAATTTAAAGTTGATAGTTTTATTGTTGCCACATCCCAGGGGTGGAATCTTGGGGCAAGCAACTAATGCCAAACAGTTTTTGCTGTTTGCTGCCAGTGCCAAACCTATATACATACTATATATATATATATATATATATATATGTACATATCTGTGTGTGCGTACATATGTCCGAATCAAGTGTAAATAGCCAGAAAACCTTTCAACTTCTTTGGTTTTGGGCAAAAGTCATTTGAAGTCATTTCAGAGTCGCAGTCACCCGAAAAAGCCGCAGACAGTCAAGCAAAGCGAAACTGTTGCAGAGTATAAAAAAA